TGGGTCAGCTGAGATAGGAGGCCTAGGAGTATCTGGCTCCAGTCAACCAGCTGGTGCCCTTGGGTAATATTTTAACATTTTTGAGCCCCAGTTTCTTTCTTATAAAATAGGGAGAATGCCTACCTAACAAGGATGTGAAGATGAAATGAGAATCCATGAGTACCAAGCTTTAGACGTATTTTCTTTTTTTTTTTTTTTTTGAGACAGGGTCTCACTCTATCACCCAAGCTGGAATGCAGTGGCATGATCTTGGCTCACTGCAACCTTTGCCTCCTGGACTCAAGCCATCCTTCCCAGCTCAAGCAATCCACCCGCCCCAGCCTCCCAAGTAGCTGGGATTACAGGCATGTGCCACCATGCCCGGACTAATTTTTGTATTTTTCTGTAGAGATGGGGTTTCACCAAATTGCCCAGGCTGGTCTCAAACTCCTGGCCTCAAGTGATCCTCCCGCCTCGATCTCCCAAAGTGCTAGGATTACTAGCATGAGCCACCATGCCTGGCCTTAGACATATTTTCCTAGACAGAAATTTCTTAAACAATAATCTCCATTGAACACCCCTGCCTGGCATATTATCATAGCTCAATAAAAAATTGTTAACAAGGGCCAGGCGTGGTGGCTCACGCCTGTAATCCCAGCACTTTGGGAGGCTAAGGTGGGTGGGTCACGAGGTCAAGAGATTGAGACCATCCTGGCCAACATGGTGAAACCTCGTCTCTACTAAAAATACAAAAATTAGCCAGGAATGGTGGCAGGCACCTGTAGTCCCAGCTATTCGGGAGGCTGAGGCAGGAGAATCACTTGAACCCAGGAGGCAGAATTTGCAGTGAGCCAAGGTTGCACCACTGCACTCCAGTCTGGCGACAGAGTGAGACTCCATCTCAAAAAAACAAAACAAACAAAAAGAATTCTTAACAAGAAAAAAATGTCATGGTGAGAGCAGATGAACAGAAGTGAGAATATGTGCAGTGTGGCTGCAAGGATGGTTTTGTGTTCATTCACTCACTCATCAGTTTACTGTTACCCTCTTGGTGCCAGGCTCTGTGCTGCGCTCCAGAGGTGGAGATGACCCTGGACTTGAGGACTGCCTGTGAGGAAGACAGCCCAAACCAGAAAACTCTAACAGCAAGGTAGAGGGTTTCTTCAGAGGCTAACTTGGTCTTATGTTCGTTGTCTCTCTCCCCCGCCCCCAACCCAACCCCCACCCTCAGCCCACTCATTAATGTAAGTTCCATAGTAGCAGACAAGTCAGACTTGTTTTAAGCTGTATTCACAATGTTTAAAACAACATCTGACATACAGAAGGTGCCAAAGAAACATCTGCTGAGCGACTGTATATGAGCTCTAATAATAGAGGTTGTAGAAGTTCACATGGGAACATTGAAGAGGTCTTGAAGTTTCTCAGCAAGGGCCATTTAAATTGGGCCTTGATGGATGTATAGAAGCTCAATAAGTGAAAAAGGAAGTAAAAGGGCATTTCAGGCATTGTAGCTAGCACATTCTGAAAACATGGAGGAAAGTTCAGGGATCGGTAATTGGGTGTGACAGGACCATAGAGTACAGGAGGTGGTGGGGGAGAGGAGAGTGAAAAGAAACAAAGCTGGGGAGATAAGAAGGACCTTGAACCAACTTGAGCTGTCAGAAAGTCCTTATTAAAATCTAACCACCGACCTTGAGGCAACACTCTGGAGAGGGCAGAATTTCCAGCTCTCACTATTATCCTAGGGAGGACCCTCCCTTCAAAGGGTGAGGGTCTCATCAGGAAGGGGGTTAAGAAAGGGGACAGTCACACTCCCACTAGTTCCTAGAATTGTCTACAGTTGGGATGAGTGGGACAGGGCACCTCCCAGAGACACAGGTGAGGGCTGCATGCTGCCCCCTTGTGGCCTCCGCAGACCTGAGCGGCAAGGAAGCCAGCCAGATCGTCTGCTCCTGATTCCAGGGGTCTCCAGTCTCCAAAGTCATCCTTGTGGCAAGTTATCCCACCCACCAGCTGTCCCCAGACCAGACCCAACTGCTTTGTTTATTTCACACATACTCAAGGCTGGGCCAGTCAGTTCAGGAAGACTGAATAAAAGGGGATAGTTCACATTTCAACAGCTTGCCTCTTTCTTACCTATATACACGTCACCTTTGGCCAGGGAGCAACTGTGTATGCACAGGGGGTCAGGAGATCAGTGTTTTGGTTTCAATTCCACCCTTAATTCATGGAGTGACCTTGGGCAAGTCACTGCACTTCACTAGCCCTCCCATGACTCCATCTCTAACACAGGGATCATGATGCCTCTTCCTGTCTCCCCTGCAGGGTCACTGTGAAGATCATCGGGAGGGAGGACGGATGCTGCAAGTGCTAGGAAAAATGTTTAAAAAGTGCTCCGGATGTAAGGGGATCATGCTGGGTATTAGATAGGGGCTCTCTTGGGCTGCACCAAAGGGTTTGTTTTCACCAGGATGAGCCCTGCTGGCAGGGCAATTTAAAGGGAAAGTGTTCAGCAGGGAAGCTGCTTGCTAATCACAACTGACCGAAACATCTCTAAAACAAGAATGGAAGTCTACAGGAAAATGGGGACCCACTCATTGGCCTGAAACTACAATCATACTTGGGTTTTCAGGAATGAACCAGAGCAAACAAGGTGGGACATAGGATGTCAGGAAATTAAATTGTGGAACTTCTGCCTGAGGTCCCTCTTGCATTCCCTGCATGCGGGGCTAGGCACACGGGTCAGTGAAAACTTGCTATTATATGATGTCTCGCTAAGACTGAGTTCAGGACAGCTGGAAAGGCCAGAAGATCCCCTTCAGAAAAAAGTCCAGAGCTAGAATAAAGATAACTAGATATAGGAGGGACTGAATTTGGGTCGCGAGCATGTGGGGGCTGACCCTGACTCACTGTGTTATGGGGGCCGACTTAGTGACTTCTCATGGTGAACTGTCACCTGCTTTACCTACCCTGATAACACTCCATGTCATTCTGGATACACAGCATCATGTATCCAAAACCTTAAAGCTAAAAACACTTTGCCTTTGAAAAACAAACAAACAAAAAAAAGTTGTCTTTTATAAGAAAGACTTTATAAGACTTTTGTAAGATGAGACTTTACCTCGTCTCATCTCTTTTTGCTTTGGTGGCCAGGAAGCTCAGGGTCAAATAATTCTAATAACTACACAGGTCTTTATAACCATATTTGTGTTGTTTTCTATAATCCTGATTTCCTACCAGATTGTTTTTCCTAATTTATTATTTCATTGTGTTGTTTTCATTGCAGTTTTTTCTTATGGACTGAGGTAAGGCATAGTGAAGTAGATGCTGAGTACTTTATAAGCTACCATCATCAAGACAATATAAGCAACAGGATGCCCCAATTTGGAGTAAACGGTAGAGCTGGCCAGACTTGAATCTAGGCAAAGTATTTAAGCAGATCCCAGAAATCTGGGCAATCTCCTGGGAGGAAGAAAGAGCAGAGGGCATTCGAGTTATCTGAAACTACTTGTTGAAAACCAATTCATGTCTTACCCCCATGGTTTACAGTGGATATTTCATGAGATAATCATAAAAGCATCAGGTTCAGACTTGAAATCATCTAACAGAAGCCTTTCCCCAATTTCCACCTCACTCACTGAGACAGTCCCAAAGACAAGGGAGGTATCTGCCCATGGGTTTAGGGCAAATACCTACATTTCCTGGCACCCAGCTCACTGTTCTTCCCACAACAGCAGCTCATTCCAACTGGAAGGATGGCATGGTGGAGGTAAGAAAGATGGCTCATCACTGGCCTCTGTGGCCAATGAATAAGTGGAATGCTCTCTCTATTCTCTCTGCTTCAATTAACAGGAAGTAGGTCTTGGCTGTAGAACTCTTGGCTGACAAGACACCTGGGTTGTTCTCTGGCAGATGCCATGCCATTGGTAATGGGCGTGGCCACAGCAGGTAGCTGAACAGCAGCCTGTGCCAGGCAGGACTGGAAGGATTTACCCCAGGTTTGTTTGATAGAGCCAGCTTTCTCCATGAGAGATGCCCTCTTGCCCCTCAACCAGGCAGGAGACACAGCTCAATCTGATACCTGGTGAGAATCTAGTAAGTCCAGCAGGCAAGCATCTCTGAGCAGCAAATATATTGATGAAGTTCACTTTTTTTTTTTTTTGAGACGGAGTCTCGCTCTGTCACCCAGGCTGGAGTGCAGTGGCCGGATCTCAGCTCACTGCAAGCTCCG